TACTGAATTCTACCCCTAAAACAGATACCAAATTTGTAACTGATATGCACATTCCTTTCACTGTAAAGCACACTCCAGTTAAGAGAAAGCCAAAACACTCCTAAGATGAGGTAGGGTTACCTAGTCTTAGTTTTGTCATGAACTAGATTTCACTATTTCAATCAAACGGTTTCACGCAATCCTGTATTTTGGGTGAGTATCCTGTCCTAGTTTGGAATAGTCATTATGGCTTTACTATATGCAGCTAGGCCAAATGGTCAAAGGGGGCACCCTCAGCAAGACTACCTAATATACGTCTTACACCTAACATCGAAAAATGAAAGAATGATCAAACGATACAACAGTAGTCCAGATCCAAGGGTTGCATTCCCATCATGGCAGAGCCCACGACCGGTCAGCCTTTTGGCAAGCTTTTGGGCAAGCCTCTGGCAAACCGTCCAGGAATAGCAAATGGCAAACACAGTGACTTAAGGGCACCAATGCAAATGCAATGCAAAGAACATATAAGTGTAGATAAAATATCACATCATAAAGTTTGAATCAAGTTCTCTAAATCCCCAACATAGTCGCCAAAAACTGTTACTTGACTTTTCGTGCTCCTTTCGGATACGACTAGCCCCACAGTTCGGACTCCTGTGATTCTGAATCTGATTCCACAAGTGCAATGTAAAATAGATAAACACAAAAGAGTCCAAATCCAACAAATCTTTTGGAAAATCGATTTTGAATAAAATTGTCAAAAATAGACTGTTTTGCCAGATACAGAATCGCCACCTAAATATTTTTGAGATATTTAGAAAACCCATGATTCGTGCCAAAGGCTACGTGTCCGTCATCACCAAGATTGTCTCGGCTCAGGAACTTAGGTACGAAAGGGGAAGGTCGTGAATTGAGCACCCCACTCGCCCGATCAAAGACTGGCCTCTACTAATCATGATGTGAATCTTATTTACATTATATGCTCTTATTCCGATTATTAGACTAGCATTACTATGTGATGCGCACACAAGTATAGACTAATTTATAAAAATTGGAACACTTTGATTTATGTTTGTTTTTTGAAAAGTGTTTCGAATATGTATCACTTGAAAAAGTGATCGCATATGTACATTTGATCAAATTATCTCAATTTAAGCAACTGGCCTTCATCTACAAGCATTCACATAATTTATCACTTAAGCACTTAGTATCATGTAAATCATGCTCGACATGTCAACAATCACACACATGCGATATGCTAAAGCAAAAATGCTCACCTAGTACTCCGAGGCGAGCTAAAAGAAACAAAAGAGTTAGAAAACATGCATGCTCCTAACTAATGCAACATGACCAATGTAACACATACAAAAATACAATTAATAGGATCGGCTACTAATTATAACATGTGAATCAATTTGATAGCATGCGGTTTTAAACACGTTTTCAACGAAGTATATAAACTACAATGCTTGTTAGAATGATGAACCGAGCCTCGATGAATGTAAGACAAATGGATGCAAACATGGAGTATGCTAAATGAAACATGATGTGCTAAACTACCCATTATAAGCAAGTAAATAAAAGGGAGAAAGACGTGAGGTTGGAAGACATACACATTATTACATTGTTGCCCTCGCACAAGAGGCTCCGAATGAATGTCCTAGTTAATTAATTATCTAATTAACTAAATTACAAACCAAATGAATAAATTAACTACACTAACTAACTAACTAATTGTTATAACAACAAATTTAACTAACTATTCTAGCTAATTAATAAAGTACAACACAACCAACTAGCTAAGTACAACACAAATTTAAACGGGCCCCGAAATGCTAGGGATGGCTCATGCATGAATGCAGATTTTCACCTTATAATGCTTTCTGTTTTGCTACCGAAATGCCTCTGTTTAACAATTAGAAAATTGCACCATTTTTTTACCTCAGCTTCTGCTTTGCTCTGCTAAAAAGGACACTGCCTGGTTGAAAAAGTGGCCGGCAACCCAAAAGTAGTGGGTTGTCGTCCAGTAAAAGTGGCCTGCCGGCCACTGATGTTGGTTTTTTCCTATAGCAACAGAGGACAAACAGAACACAAACCAGAGTATTTTCAGGGGATGTTTGTCCACCTTGCTTCTCCTTATCAGCAAACAGGTCAAAGGAGGAGTAGGCTTGATTTGCAAGCCATCAATCGACGCAATCTCATTGCGTGATGACTTATGAATCAAAGGACACAATTTCAATAAATGCATAACAAAAGACCAACTAAACCTCCTTCCTATCATGGATTGATCAAGGGAAGTGGTTGACCTTAGAAACTTGAACCATTTCATCACTTAATAAGTATGAAATGACTCAAGTTTTCATGTGTTCAATTAATGTCCAATTGAACACAATTCCTTATTATCTTATCCCATTCTAGTCCAAGTTTTGTTACTTCATTTTAATTACCTTCCATTCCTTAATTCATTAAGTTCAAACAAGAGCTTTAAGGCCACTAATGGAAAGAAGTACCAAACCAAATGTTGTTTTAGGCATGAGAGAGATGTCATGCCATTAATAATGAACCCCCAAAAGGATTAAATCATTAAGCACAACAACCTCAATCTCAAGTTTAAACAAATAATCAGTTTGAAACCACTCTCAAAGAAAATAAAATGCCAAGAAAATGAGGAGGTTACAAAGATGCTTAAAGGTGAATACCAGTATGGAAAGTAAGAAATAAATGCTATCAACTCAAATAGATTGGTGGCTAAGGCCTAAACCACCAAGCTTACGAGGACCATTACACTACAAGCATGCTATACAAAGCTCAAATGCAATGAACAACTAAAAACAGTTCTAAAATAGTCAAAAACAATGCTAGACTTGAGGCAAAAGTAGCTAAAACAAAACCTAAAATATTGAGGGATTAAGCTAGCACACAAGCATAAGGAGGGAAGGCTAACCCCCTCCACTTTTGGGGCTTCAAAACATGATTTTTGCCTCTGAAAAACCTCTGAAAATTAGTAGTAAAAAACCTAAAAAATTTTGATGAGAATGTAGGAAACACAAGGGCAAAGGCCTTAGAAGTAAGGTTCAAAGAAGGGTTATTAACCCCTCTATCTTTAATGGCCTTAAACCACAAGTTTCAGCCAAAAAATACAGGTTATAAACAACTCAAAAACAACAAGAAAAGATAGAAAACAAGTAGTGTAAAAGAACTAGGAGATATACCTCTTGAATAGGAATGGTTCCTTCGATTTTTAAACCACTATTTCACACTCTCAAGTGCCTCAAGAGCTCAAATGTAAGCTCAAATCACCTCAGTAAGAAACTCTCTAGGTTTGGTTTAGAGTGTTTAAGCAAAGGCTATGTAAGTTGCAAGAGAGAGAGAAATTTGTATAGAGAGAAGAATTTTTTAAAATTTTGCTCTTCAAAAATATTTTCTCACTCCTAAATTTTTCTAACCTTGAAAACAACAAAGAGGGTCATTTATATATAGAAATATATGAGAGACCCTTGAAAATATCCTTACAAACACAACTGGAATGGTACATGCATCTGTAGGGACAACTGGCAGAAAATATCTATTTTTTTACACTAGTGGGCGGCAGGCCACACTAGTGGATGACATGCCACACTGGTGGACAGCAGGTCCCTGGAGGCTCAGACTTGAAAAAAAAACACTGTTTTGGTCCAAAACAAGGCGCAAGGTTTGAAAGTTCAACATTGAGGTTTCCTGTTGAGGAAGTCAAGCATTTGACAAACATACACATTCATCATTGAGTGATCAATCAGTGGCGCCCAAGTCTTGCGGGCCATAAAAAATAGGGTGTCTACACCAGTCAGCTAGCTCATGTTTGTATTTTTAGGCGATAAGACGACGACGTTTGGAAGAGTGCAAATTTGATCAATAGGATTATACGAGGAGAATTATTCCGTATTCGTACATGTATCAAAATTTAGTTTGTAATAAAATTTCAAACATATTTGAGTCAATTATGCTACAGATACCAAAAACAAAAACAAAAAAATTATCAAATAAAATACAAATATAAGATAAAGGTGTAATATCCACATATGTGAGGTCCATACATAAAACTTAATTTTTATCTCACATTTGTGTTTTATTTTGTAAAATTCTTCCGTACATATCCGTGAAAACTATTTTCATGCTGAAGCAGGCATGAGGGTAATTTCTAGGAGTGTAAAAATGGCCTGCGGCACGTGGGCGGCCCGAAGGGGTGGGCTCGGCCTGAGCTCCTGGGCTTGGGCCTGGGCCTGGGCCTGGGCCATCATTTTGAAGCCCAGCCCATCGATCCGCTTAAAAGGCCCACTCAAGGCCTGTCCCGTCCAGCCCGTCTTTTTTAGTGGTAAATAATAAAATTTTGTGGAAATTTTTTTTTTAAAAAAAATAGTTAGGCTTTCCCAAGCCCGAGGCCAGGCCCACTGGGTTAGCCCGCTCCTAAGGCCCAAATACCCTTGGGCCTAATTTTTTTGGCCCGTATGTCCGACTTGGTCTGGCCCGAATTTTGGTGGGAGCTCGCGAGGCTTGACATTAGCCGGGTCGGACCAGATTTACACTCCTAGTAATTTCATGATTCCAAAATTGCAAGCAACTTCACATTACGTTTTGAAAAAAATAAAAAGTTTGAAGCAACTATTTTCATGTTCGGAAAGAAGTTTTTTTTTTGTGTGGTTAAAATAGTATTAAAAAATAAAATATGTTAAAATAATTAATAGGACAAAATATCATATCAAATTCATAATCATTTTAATTTTTTTCTTACAAATATCATATCTAATTATAAAAAAATTCAACTATCTTCTCTCAAATATAATTATTTTAATTTAATAAAATAATCAAAAATTAAAATAATTTATTAAAATAATCAACCAACCAAACTGAATTATTTTAGTTTGAAATATTTTAAATAGATATATATATATATTTTTTAATTTTTTTATAAAAATATAAAAAAATATATTAATTATATATCATCTAAACAAAACAAGTACACTTATATAAAAAAAAAAAAAAGTACACTTATATCAAGGCCTAAATTTCATTTCGTGTCAATGCCGGCACGAGGGTGATTTCGTGAGTCCATAATTCCACGCAATTGCACAGAAACTCGATCGATAATTTCTACAATGGGTGACCGCTACGTCAAAAAGTCCACAAAGTCAACTAAAAAACCTGACGTTTTTGCCTCCCGAAACTCATCCCTCATTGGTCCATTCTTCTTTTTCTTCATTTTCATAGTATTTAAATCATATGCATTTGCCCAATAATACTAATCAACTCAATTCAACTCAACTCACTCTGCAAATCAAACTCCAATCCAAACCCATCCAACAATGTCTTCCACAGATTCCAAATTGGCCATGGCCAAGACAGTCCTCTCCACCGCCGCCTCCGTTGCCGCCACCGCCATGGTGGTCCGAAGCGTCGCCACCGATTTCCTCCCCCCTGAATTCCAAAACTATATCTTCTTCAACCTCCGCAACTTCTTCTCCCGATTCTCCTCCCACCTCACAATGGTCATCGACGAATTCGACGGCCTCGTCAACAACCAAATCTACGACGCCGCCAACGTCTACCTCTCCACCAAAATCTCCCCCACCACCACTCACCGCCTCAAAGTCACCAAAATCGACGATGAAAAGAGCATCAACGTTTCAATGGATCGCAACGAAGAGGTCACCGACTTGTTCGACGGTGCGAAGCTCAAATGGATCTGGCTATGCCACCAAGTCGAGTCCAAGCACTTCTACAACCGTCGCGATATGAACTCGACGCTACGATCGGAGGTCCGATCCTTCGAATTGACTTTCCACAAGAAGCACAAACAGAAGGTTCTCGAATCTTACTTTCCATACATAATGAAAGAGGCGAAATCGATGAAGGACGAGAAGAAGACGGTGAAGATCTTCACCGTGGATTACGAGAACATGTTCAATTTGGCGGATTTGTGGACGGCGGTGAATCTGAACCATCCGGCGACTTTCGAGACGGTAGCGATGGATTCGGAGATGAAGAAGATGATCTTGGAGGACCTCGAGAGGTTCGTGAATCGGAAAGATTTCTATAGGAAGGTCGGGAAAGCATGGAAGAGAGGTTACTTGTTGTACGGACCGCCGGGAACGGGGAAATCGAGCTTGATTGCGGCCATGGCGAATTACTTGAATTTTGATGTGTATGATTTGGAGTTGACGGGGCTGCGGTGTAACTCCGATTTGCGGCGGTTGTTGGTGGCGACGGCGAACAGGTCGATTTTGGTGGTGGAGGACATTGACTGCACCATTGAGTTGCAGGATCGGATGGCTTTGGCTCGGGCTTCGCAGCCGCATGGGTTTCATCAGGAAGAAAACAAGGTTGGTTGTTCGCTTTCTGTGCATTTTCATTTTCATTGACTTCTTTGTTTTGTATACATCTGCTTTTCTTGTTTTTTTTTTCCTGTTGTTAGTTGGATCATGCTAGCCTTTTTTTTTAAAGACTTTTTCAATGGTAAATGGCCCACCGTAAGACCTTGTTGATTCTAAAGTTCCTAGTTCCCACATATCCTAGGATAAATAAATTTTAATTACGAAAAGTTATTTACAAATAAAAAAATTAAGAGTTAATTAGTTAAAAGTCATATTTACAAATGCTATGATAGCTTAATTTTGTGTAAGATTTTTTGAACTAATAAATCCTATTTAATAAAATTGAGAATATAATTAATTTTTTTTTTCAATTTTTAAAAGTAAGAATATTATGAATTTTGGATAGTAATGTTTCAGATAATTGTTTCACTAACTAATATAAAAAAAAAAAGAGTATGAGATTAAATATTTTTGTCCTTCTACTTATTGATTTAATTCAACTATTCAATAAAATTGAGAAAATTAACAGTTTTTTTTCAATTTTAAAATTAAGAACATTATCAATTTTTTTATTTTAAATTTTTTTTTTCTAATTTGTGCGTCAATATTCCATCATCATGTTCTTTTATAGACACAAAATTTTTAATTTTGCACAAAAAAATAATTCAATTTTTTCAAAAAAAAACATAACTTCAGTTTTCAAAAATAATAATAATAATAATTCAATTTTTTCAAAATTTTCAGTTTTGGACAAAAAAAAATTGCACATAAGTTTTTCATTTTGAAAGTTAATATTTTAGATTTTAAAAACCAAAATAAATGTCAAATCATCATGTTACCTTTATAGATAATTATAAATAATAAACAATCATTGTTTAAATGGTAATTCAGATTATTAAAAATTTAATGAGATTTGAAAGTTCAAAAAATCTTAATTAAGATTTAATGGAGTATAAGTTCATAGATACAAAATTTTGTGTAAATGTCTCAAAAATTAATTACAAACATTTTTTTAATATAAATTGATGTGATGTATAATAATAAGTTCTTAATATGTAAAATAGAACTATGATCAGAATAATTCATTGCCACATCAATTTTTAAATGAAGTTCATAAAAAATAAAAAAGGATATTTTTATGATATTATTATATGTTTTAAGCCCATATTAAATGTAATTATTAAGAAATCTCAAGGAGTTCAATACTGATTAGTTGCAATAAACTCTCTAGGGCCCGTTTATTTTCAGAGGTAGAATGAAGGGATTGATAGTGAGTGGATTAATAGTGAGGAGATTGTTAGTGATGGGATTGATAGTGAGGGGATTAAATAAAATTTTGTTTATTTTGATGATAGTTGTTAGTGTAGGAATTGTTAAATTATTTTTATATAAAATAATAAAATAAAAAAATAAATACAAAAACATTAAACATTAATGTTTTAAAAAAAATGTCCAACATGTAAAAAATTTTAAAAAAGTAAAAAAATTTCAGAAAAAAATAAAAAAAATAAAATAATGATTTTTACTTAATAAAAAATATAAAAAATTAAACATTAATGTTCAAAAAATAAATGCCCGACATGTAAAAAATAAAATAAAAATAAAAATTTTTTTAGTCCGCCGGACTATTTTTCTAACACCAAGTCCCTTATTCAAATCCCATTTGCAAGGCCTATCCTAAGCCATTCGGTTTAGCAGTCCCTTCCTCAATTCTGTAAACAAACAGTACATTAAATTAGGAGTGAGCAGCGGATATACCGATCTGCCAAAACCGACCGAACCGAACCAATCCGCCGCATTTTGGATGGATGCGTGATGTCAAGCGGACGGTTGCAGATTGATTTTCTCTAATCCGTCAATTTGGCGGACGGATGGCGGAGTTGAGGTTCCTTTGGCTACAACCGAACCGCCAAACCGCGAGTACCTTAGTAATTTATAAGACTTCGTGTTTTTAATTTATTTGAATATTTTGTTTGTGTTTTCAATTGAAAAGAGTTCAAATATTCTGTTGAAAAAAAGCTTTTAACTTGAATATATTTTTTGAATTGAAGAAAATAAACATATTATTTATTTATATTTTTTGGTTTTTAAATATAACTCTAAAAGTAATAAATAGAAAATATAATATATGCTGGTTGGTTTTTGTTTTCAAAAACATATATAAATGTAACAATATAGAGACATACAATCTCTACTATTGCTTTGTTCTTGGTTTTGATGGTTTGCATTGTTTTTATATTTTAAGAATCACAGATTGTAATATTTTATGTGGATGAGGCACGTCGTGATTGTAATATGTGGATGAGGCATGCAATAATTGATATTCTAAAGTTTCAAACTTTTTTTCTTTGGATGAGACATGCAGTAATTGTAATACTTTTTTAAGTCATTAACTGTAATACTTTTTTTTTTTTTTTTTGAGGAAGTATGCAAGTTGAATTATGTTGAAAATTTATAAAATTTCAAACCGTCAAACCGATTCGCACCCATCCGCCAAACCGTCAATCCGCTCAATCCACATCTGCCGGATTGGCGGACGAATGCTGATTGATTTTCTCCAATCCGCCAATCTGACGGACGAATGACAGATTGGAGGTTTCGTGACCGCAACCGACCCGCGCCCACCCCTACATTAAATAGAATCTACAATTATTCTAATCTCAATCCCTCTCTCAAACTCCAAAACAAACGGGCTAGAATCGGTCCATATAGCATATTTGCTTTGATTTTAAATGACAGTCCCCGGGATTGGTGGGATTAGCTGCAATTGATGTTAACTGACTCGAATAGTTATCAAAAAAATTATCAATATATATAGATATAATTATTAAAATATGTTTGGATGTTGAGAAATGCTTGGATAATAATAATTTAAGAGATATTTATCAAATTTGAGTTTTCAAAAATAAATAAAAATTCTCTAAATATAGACTTTTAAACTCTATTTGTAGACAAAAGTGTTTGTTTTTTGAAAATGTGATTTTTTTAAAATAATTTTAATTTTAAAATAATTTTAATATTTTTAAAATATAATTTTAAATAATATGTGATTTTAAAATAAGACTTTTCAAAATAGCATTAGTCTAAAAAATAAACTTAAAAGCAAAAAAAAGTCAGGGTGACCCACTTTGGAATTAGACTGTCTGTTTGGCTGACTATCAATCTTGTAAGTCTTATTGGTTGATAAAAATTGAATGGGGCTAGTAGTTTTGTGAGATTATGAATACCTTCATATAAGGAGATTAGTTTGGTTGAATTTTAGGTGAGATTAGGAAAATAGTGAGGGGATTAGATAGGGGATTGACTTTATTTTATATAAAAAATATTATTTTTTTAATTTTATTTTTTTACCAAGTGCACCTATTTGTTTTAATATTTGTTCTAATTTTTGTAATTTAGAAATTATTTATTTATTTATTTATATAAAAATAATTTAGCAATATCATTTCTCATACTATCATCAAAATAAACATATTTTTGCTTAATTCCCTCACTAATAATTCTCACATTAACAATTCTTTCGCTAACAATCCTTTAACAAACAATCTCATTCAACCTAATCCGCTAAACAAACGTGCTCCTTAGGTGTTGGGAAATATGGTTAGTTTTGGAAAGTAAAAAAAAAAAGTCAATTTATTTATTTATTGGCTTATTTGAATTACATTATCTGTTTATTTTTTTGCATGTTTTTTTTAAGAATTTTTTTTTAAAAAAAAAAGCTAATGAATTAGTTTTTTTTCTACTTCTCAAAACAAACCTATAATTCAAAAAAGCGAGATTTGGTGAAAAGAAAAAAAAAGTCATATTATTGCACTTTTTTTTTTCCACTTCTTTGAAAATACTTGTTAAATTTGCTTTCTTTTTTGTCTTTGTTGTTCTGTTTTTGGATTAATTTTATTTTTCTATTTTTTATTTTTTTTGTTTTTATTTATTTTATTTATTATTTATTTTTGGAAGAATTTTATTTATTTTTAGATTGGTCCCTCTAGGCCATGTTGCATCGCCAATCAAATACGAAAAATACCACTCACTCTCTTTGATTTTCATTTTCAGAATTTATTTTTTGTTATTCGTATTTTTTATTTTTATTAATTTTTTTTAATATTTGAAGTAATTTTTTTAATTTTTAAAAACATCTAATATAAATATATTTAAAAAATATAATATTTGTGAAAAATATTTTAAAAATTCACTAAATATCAAAAATATATAAATTATATATATAAATTTAGTATATTTTTTATATTTTTGTTTATTTATTAATTTTTTAAAATATTTTTTCACAAATAATTTATTATTTAGATACATCTAAATAAAATATATTTAAAATTTTTTTAAAAAAGTATTTAAAATTTTAAAAATATTTATTAAAAATAAAAAATAAAAAAATTAATTTCTAAAAAATTAAATTCAAAAAATTAAAACTACTTAAATAGAATAAGACAATACGGTGGACTTTGACTTTGAAGTCATGGTGAGTGCTAAAATGTAAAAACATTAAAAAATATATATTATATGTTTTTTTAGCAATGTTACGCTTTATTGATATCTTTTCATATTTATATGTACTATACTTTCTTTACAAAATAATGAGAAATTTTAATATATGGGTATCCAGACATTCTAAGGCTTTGTTTGGGAAGTGGGTTGACTTTTTAGTTTTTTGACTTATTTGACTATTTTAGCCTGGACTAAAAAGCTTGGCTTGGGAAGGACTTTTTGACTTTTTTGACTTTTTTTGTGAGAGAATAGTGTAATGATTATGAGTTGGATGTGATGTTTTATTTTTTATGGTTAAAATAACTTATTTTGTCTTTTGTGGCTAAAACAGTCAAAAACAAGCCTAGAGACCAACTTGCCAAACAGAGGCTAAATCTACTCTATATTCTTCTGTATTTCTTACATTGTTGCATGAGTCTCTTATATTTACTGTTAAGTAGGGTAGGATATTATTTAAAAAATATAGAATAATATTTTTTAAAAATTTGTGAAAACAATATAGAAAAAATGCTTTGTGGTCCGAATTTATGTGGTTCGAACAGCTCAAATGTGTTAAAACGATGTCGTTTTATATCCGTAATGATGTTGTTTTTAAGACATTTGAGCCATTCGAGCATGAAAATTTGGGCCACCTAGCATTGTTAAACAATATAATATAAGCAACAAATGTTATTCAGTGTATTTGATTTGAATTTTTGGATTGAGTTTTTTGAAAATTGAGTTTTTTAGTTTTTGTATTTTTTTATTTTTAGTGAATATTTTTAAAATTTTAGACATTTTTTTTTACTTTTTTAGATGCACCTTAAATAGATGTATCTAAAAAGTAAATAAAATATGAAAAAATATTTTAAAAAATCAATAAATACATAAAAATATAAAAAATGTACTGAATTCTCTTTTTTTTTTCTTTTGTATTTTTAGTATTTAGTGAATTTTTAAAAGGTTTTTTTTCACAAATTTTTTACTTTTTAGGTATATTTCTTTTTTTCTTTTTTTTTTTGGTGAATCAGTATATTTATGTTAGGTATGTCTAAAAAGTTAAAAAAAAATGCTTAAAATATTTAAAAAATTCAGTAAAAAAAAATACGAAAAATAAGAAAATAAAATTTTTTGAAAAGTATTTTTGGAAAAGACGAACCAAGCAAAGTGATTATTATGAGTAAATAGAAGGATAATGCTATTTATGCATATATGTGTATATATTTTTAAACATTACTATTCGAGATTAAAAATTAGATTTAATTTTCAAATTTAATGATGCGGCAATTAATTAAGATATTAAAGGTAATTCTTTCTCTCATATCTTCTATAATTAGTAATCAATTATATTACTTATACATCATTAAATTTAAAGACTAAGGCCCCGTTTGGGGTCTTACCTTTTTAGTCAAAAAGTCAAAAAGTTACCTTTTAGCCAAAAAGCCAACAACTCATACCAAAAAGTCAAAGATTCTCTTTTCTCTCTACTTTTTGCACATCTTTTCGTAATTAGTCAAAAAGTCATACCAAACATATAAATTTTTTTTACCTACTTTTTTAGCTAAATAGCTAAAAAGTTACTAAATTAGCATGTTCCCAAACGAGGCCTAAGTCTAAAAAGTAGACTCGGTTATCAGATTCTTATATTTTTTCCTTTCACAATTTTATGTTGTGTTGCTACAGGTGACATTATCAGGGTTGCTCAATTTTGTGGACGGTCTCTGGTCTAGTTGTGGCGATGAGAGGATCATAGTGTTCACCACAAACCACAAGGACAAGCTCGACCCCGCATTGTTGCGGCCGGGTCGGATGGACATTCACATTCACATGTCCTATTGCACCCCATGCGGGTTCAAACTACTTGCATCGAACTATCTCGGCATTACAGACTATGAACTTTTTGGAGAGATTGAAGAATTGATTCAGTCGACCGAGGTGACTCCGGCTGAAGTAGCCGAGCAGTTGTTGAAGACGGACGATCCTGATGCCACGCTCAGCGGCTTAATTGATTTTCTACAAGGGAAGAGGAAGGAAAAGGAGGAGGACGATGCGAAGAAAGTAGTTGAAGTGGAATCAATTGAAACGGAGGAGAAGAAAGAGGAACAAGAGGGATGAGGGTGGAGAGGAAGAGAAAGAACACGTTGACAACTAGGAAATATGAATTCAGAGGGGAGCAAATTATAGGAATAGAAATGCTTGGGGGCTCTAATTAGAGTCACTACTAATGATTTGTCAGTGGGTCCCACACTGCTACAGTGTATGTTTTCACTAGTGGTGGATTTATAGCTCTTTATTTAGAACTCTAAATCATTACTGTTATAGGAAAATGGGATGATTACTTTTTTCCCAAGGACTACGTTTTGAGAAATTATAAATATAATAATAGATGCGCGATTCTGAAAAAGATAAAAGAAAGTAAATTACTAATTAATATCTATTTTATTATATAAAGCAAAGGCCCAAGTTAGTGTCTTGAAAACCTTTGTTTTTATGTATGCTAATCCTTCATTATTTTTTACAAATTTATTCATGATCATGGTTATTAGAATTCCGAATAGATCGTAGGATCTTACGATTTCATGATCTTTGTTGGGCCAAAGGATCCGAATCACACTAGGATCTATACAATTATATAAAGCAAAGTTTCAAGTCAGTGTTTTCAAGCCTTTGCTTTTGTGTATGCTAATCCTTCATCATTTTCTACAAATCCATTCATAATTATGGTTATCAGAATCCCGATCTAGATCGTAGGATCTTATTTGTTGGGCCAAAGGATCCGGATCGCACTAAGATCTCAAAATGACTACAATCCTAGCTCGTAGAATCGTGTAGAATCATACTATGATTGTAATTCTAATACGATCTCGATCCTACAAAAAAAAATTATTGTTTATTTCTTATATATGTATGCCCGGGTTGTTAAAATCGTACGATTTACGATTTAATTCATACGATTCGATACAAGTTTTAATAAAAATTATTCGAATCATGTTGTTAAATCGGAAAGTGAGTGAATCATACGATTCAATACAATTTATTACGATTCACACAATTTATTGCGATTCAGTTCTCTTTCGATTTTTGCCAAACTATGAAGATATATAGAAAAGATTAATTTGTTATATTGATAGACATAATTAATTTATGTTATTTTAAACATGGTATATATTTTTATATGTATATAAATATATAGAATTATATATTATATTAAATAAAATATAAATTTTACGATGATTCGATACGATTTATGATTCACTATTTTAGCAAAATGATTCATAATTTGATTCACAATTTGATGGCAATGATGTATGTATATTTGTATGTCTGTATATAGAAAATGACTATAAACTCTTTCTCTAAACATCTCGGCTATTTTATGTTAACATAAAAGATACATTATATTAAATTTATCATTTTTATCTAATGATTTAAAATTATTTAACATAAATTATCATTATTGAAAATTTCTCGTTTTATTTTGCATAGACAATAGAATCCTATGATCCTTAATGCAATCCTACGATTCGATCTATAAATCTCTCCCACGAACCCACCTAGGATCCCGATTTTAACAACCTTACTCATAATCCCATAATTACTAACTATTCAGATGTCGATTTTCAATTTCAAATTTTATAACTTTTTTGTTTTTTCTTTTTCCTTCTATATCCCACTAATTTATTTTCTTAGCACATTCATCAAATGTGCACACTGTCTAGTAATACTAATATGCATATATGAAAGAAACTTGTGGTTGCATAACTCGAGTATATTATTGTAGTTGAGAATTCTCTGTTTCACTTCTCAGATTTTGTTTGGCTACAATTGCATTTCAATTGAAGATATTTAAAATTAAAAATATTGATCATGTAGCGCTAATTACTATAGTTCTTTTGGAAATTGATTATTTTAATTAATTTTTTTTACATTTTTGTACGGGGAAGAAATAATTCTCCACGTATAATCCTGTTGACTAAGTCCGCGCTCCTCTGTACGACGTCGCTTTGTCACCTGAAAACACAAACGTGAGCTAGCCGGCGGGTGTGTGCCGGAAACCTCTCCGATGCCTAAGTCAGAAAACTTGACAAATAGACAAAGCTCAATGTATTCAGGAAGCAAAATTGTATGTTGTGTTATCTTACCTCCTCCAAGGTGATGCTTGTGAGCTTTTATAGGTTTCGAGTGGCCCAATCCTAGTAGGACTTTTATTCCTCCATGCAGAGTCCTCCTAGGATTCGTACTCCTAAAGGATAATGCTTATCCTTTTACACCCCCACTGCTTAAACCAAGTGGGATGGTTTTTACCACGACTGAACTACAACATGACCGAAATAAACTTGACTATGCAGAGCCACTGAGTAGGCCGAACTACCTTAGTTCGATTCTGCTTTTACTCCTTATCTCGGTTCTCTCATGCTCAACCTATGGCACGGGTACGACGTCGCTTTGTCACCTGAAAACACAAACGTGAGCTAGCCGGCGGGTGTGTGCCGGAAACCTCTCCGATGCCTAAGTCAGAAAACTTGACAAATAGACAAAGCTCAATGTATTCAGGAAGCAAAATTGTATGTTGTGTTATCTTACCTCCTCCAAGGTGATGCTTGTGAGCTTTTATAGGTTTCGAGTGGCACAATCCTAGAAGGACTTTTATTCCTCCATGCAGAGTCCTCCTAGGATTCGTACTCCTAAAGGATAATGCTTATCCTTTTACACCCCCACTGCTTAAATCAAGTGGGATGGTTTTTACCACGGCCGAACTACAACATGACCGAAATAAACTTGACTATGCAGAGCCACTGAGTAGGCCGAACTACCTTAGTTCGATTCTGCTTTTACTCCTTATCTCGGTTCTCTCATGCTCAACCTATGGCACGGTTGGACCAAACTTAACAAATTGCGACCGGTATAACTCCTAGGTCGGTCTAACTCAAAGGTACTGCCAGACCGACCTATTCAGGATACATCTTGACCGGACTAACTCTGAGACCGGCCTAGCCCCAACTTGCCCGGACCGAAGTAGTTTTATTATTCTTGGGCCGAAGTAACTTTACCTCTCTCCGGGCCGGAATAACTTTTACATTTCTATTGGGCCTTTTTACCCAGTCCTTCGTACTTTGAGCCATAAAGTCCATCTCACAGCTCGGCCCAATTTTTACCAAAAATTACCCTCTCAATTTTTATAAAAGATATATAAAAAATAAAAAGAATAATGTGATCATTTGTAATAATTTTTTAATTATTTTAACTTATTGACAAACTATAGTAGAATAAAAATGGGAAATTTGTTTAAAGACCCCTCATAATAAAACTTTAATACATTAACAACAAGTTCAAAGAGTTTTTCTTAAAAAATTCAGTACATACCATTATTACCAAAATAATTTTATTGAGTAATTTAATATTTTAAACTTTAAAATGATATAATTTTTTATTTAAATGTTAGTTTTTAATAAAATTAGTATTTTTAGAATTTTCTCATCAAGATTTATCAAATAAGATCCACGTTGATTATGAAATTCTTCTTTTAAAAAAATTAACGTTGCAATTGACATAAACAATAAAATGTTAACTTTTTCATAATAAAATGTTACTCTGATTGATAGTAAAATGTTACTTTATTTCACAGTAAAATGTTATCTTCACTACGAGTTCACAATTACACAATGACATACTATTAGAGTAACATTTTACTGTCACATGAACATGGCATTAAAAAAATACAGAGTACATCTTCAATGAGCAACCACAAGTATAAATGAAATTTTACTTTTATATTTACAAATTAATAAACAAACACCATTACGAATCACAAGTAATAAAAATATATTGAAAAAAAATAAATAATTAATCAAAATTACAATTTACTTGCAAATACTTGACTGTTTCTTATTCAAGGAACCCAATCATGGGTTATCCAGCCATTCCTTACCTTTTTGACACGAAGCCATTCCTAATTTACTATTATTGCTATCAATCTGTGTGGGTGAAAATCTGACCACACTGCCTGTTTAGTGATCAGCTGGAGAGCACAAGCAGAATAAATGGCTTGAGTAACCTGAAACAGAAAGAAAAAGCTCCGGCGGTGGTTCTTCCACCCGGGGGCACTCCGACGATCAAGTCAGTATATCTCTCAAAGATAATCAAGTACTAAACTGAATACTCAAAGTATAAATTTCGGTTGGGACTTTGTTTGGGTTCTTCTCGGTAAGAACATAAGCAACTTTCAAAAGGCTGAGGTAAAAAAGAACTTTTCCTTTCTACCTCTTAAAATGAACTCTCTTGGACTTGAAAGGCTTGTTGAGATCCCCAATTCTATCATTGGTTTTTTCTAGTACTTGTTCCATGGTTGATCTCCTTAAAATTGTTGGTGAAAATACCAGAAAAATTATATTTTATTGATAAATAATGCTAAGAAAATGAGATACAAATATATCAGGGTGAGGCACGGATATCTCGTTTTCTTTAAGGATATCAAGCCCACTACGGTAGGAAGAACACAAATACCGATGTAGCAGTCACTAAACTATGACTTGTCCCCTCCAGGATACAACAGTCTGACCACTTGTCGTATGGTTCAGGCCAACTCTGCACATGATAGTGAACCCAAAGCTTCACCAAGAAAAAACACTATTTTTTCGCTAGTAATCTCTCAAGTGTAAAAAATAGTTAGTATAGAAAAGAGTAAATGAGAGAAATTATTTATAGGCCACTAAAAAATGACCATCAAACTAGAGAAAAGGGAGAGCCTCCAACTATTAACTCACCACCAAGTCCATGAATTTCTAATTAATCTTCATTCATGAACAAGACAAAAGGTCACCAAAAACAAATGAATCTCCATTCACCAAACAAAATGAGATTCATGAACAAGACAAAATAAGATTTATGAACATGACCAAAAATTCACAAACATAAATAAATAAATAAAAGATATTAAAATGGTCCAACATATATCATTATTTATGTAATATAATTTAAATTAGTTATGTAATAAAAAAATTTATGAGAGATATATTGATTCATTTTTGTTAAGAAATTAAGAGATAAAAAATAATTTATTATGTTGTATTTTTCATTAATAAAAAAATTTCATTAATAATTTCACATAATAATAATAATAATAATAATATTATTATTATTATTATTATTATGTGAAATTATTAATGAAATTTTTTTATTAATGAAAAATACAACATAATAAATTATTTTTTATCTCTTAATTTCTTAACAAAAATGAATCAATATATCTCTCATAAATTTTTTTATTACATAACTAATTTAAATTATATTACATAAATAATGATATA